CACCAAAAGTTTCACTTCCTCCCTTCCTTCCTTCCTCCCTCCCTTCCTCCCTCTCCTGGTTAGGGAACTTGAGGCCCTCCAGAGGTGGTTGAACTACAAATCCCAGCAGCCCTGGCTAGTCTAGCCAATGACAAGGAAGGCTGGGTGGTGTTGTTCAGCCAGTTCTGGAAGGGCAAATGTTCTTCACACCCCAAGGGGTGTGAATGGGATGTATGTATGTATCTAGGATGTATCCCAATCTCCTAGTTCAGAGCAAAGCTGAAAAACTTATCTGACAATGAAATAATGGTTTCTCTTTGCAGCTGCCAACCACAGTTTAAAATATTTTGACAAGAAGAGGCACGAGGAAGGAGAGTTTTTCCCATCTTGGCAAGCAATTGTAAGTGATTGAAATGTATCTCCTATGAAACTATGTGCATCACCTGGATGGAGAAGCATTCATTCCCCCTGCCTCTATCCTCATTCTTAGTCCCACTGTTGATATCCTATACATTGTTTTGTTGACAGGTCAAATTATTTGGAGCACGGAAAAGGATTACTTTGTACTGAAGTGTTGATTTAACCGTGCTTGCACCACAATCAAATGAATCAGAACTCAAAGGCATTTGATCCATTCCTTTAAGTTCCAAAACCATGCAAAGAGTATCAAAACCCCATCCTGGTATAACAGGTGAAGAACTGCCTTGTTCTCTGTGTGATAAGGACAGGACGCAAGACAGCAGGGGGAAAAAAATCAGAAGATACTGTAGAAAACCAGTTTTACTCTCTATACGTGTCTGAATATGTTCAACTTTTCAGCTCTTTCCGGGGATAATTTTGTTCTTCTGGAGAAAGTGAAGAAATTCCACATCCCATTCTAAGAACTAAAAAAAGACCCTATTGCGTGTATCTGACACCCTTAAAGCTTCCGGTGTACTGTTTTTGAGAATGAAACTAGTATTCTACAGCACATTTGGATATTTTCCTCTTGCATTTTTTTTCATATCACTGAACTAAGGCAGTTCTCTTATTTCTAAACTGTGAGGCGGTTTTCAGTAATGTGGAGTCCTTGCGGTTCTCTGAGCTTGGTTGTTTTCTTGCAAACGCTTCGTTACCCGGCCAGGTAACATCTGCACTGAAGATGTTGCCTAGCTGGGTAACGAAGCTCAGAGAACCCCAAGGACTCCACAGTTCAACCCTGAGCTACACATATTTGCTTTTATTGGCTTAGAGTAATTGTCTTAAACAACTGTTGCTCTATGGGAGCTTGTATGGAACAAAATGTGTGCAGGCTTTGTGGAAGAGAAACAAGGTGAGTTTCTCCTTAGCTCCTTAGTTTTGTTGTGTGGGGCTCTGATATAAGGGATAGGGTATGTCAAGTTGCATCCTGTGTATCTTGCAGCACTCTAAAAAAACAGAAACCCAGATGCCTGCCGAGAGAACGCTGGAAGAGTGCATTTAATTTCTACAAAGCTTTGTCAACTGTGTTCCCTTAAAAAATGAGAACCAGAGCACCAAAGCCATCTATAACATCATGAAGTCTCTTTAATCTGAGAACCTATAAATTCCACAGTGCTCTGGGAATGTTGCTGTGGACTTTTAATAAAGACTCCGCTTCTGCTTAAGCATCCTGCCCATGTCCAGCTGCTCCAAGGGTTACTGGGGACTCCCAACTCACTGCAGAAAGTGAATGCACTATTTCCTTTGTTCCCCAGCCAAGAGCTTCCCTCCCGTATACGAAGGCTAGAACCGCAGGGTAGTTACCTGTGGCGCGGCTTGCACTGTAACGGGAGTTAAAGTCTGTGTTGGTTGGCTTGTCACTTGGCTAAACGGCACAATTCCTGGGATAGGCACAGGTGTGATTTCAGGCAATGCCTTGACTTCACCTTAAAAAGGAGGAGGAAACAAGTTACTCTGTTAACCTCTTCAAATATCACCCTGGATACTGTATATCAAACCAAGCTCGTTTTGTTGGCTGAAGAGGGCATCCTGAGCATGTGTCATTAGACTGCGTCAACCTCAAACCAGTGGGATGTAGACAACAGTATGGTCTGCTGGCAAAGTAGGGTTAGAGATCCTCACTTATGAAGAATAGCAGGAGCAAGCTTTGGGCAAAGCTCGGCTTTGGTTGCTCTTGTGGCATGCTGGGCAAAATGCGCTCAGACCGCCAGCGATGGTCCTGACTATTAACAAAGAATGCTGGTATGACTAAGGCTGGTAACTTAGTTTATCCTTTCTTTGTCTAATTACATGCATTATGTAACCATTTTGACTCACCCACCCTGATGATGCTCAGGAAGCTATTAAAGACCTGGCTATTCTCCCAGGCTCTAGGGCAGAATGATATTTTGTTGTTGCTCTTTTATGTTTATTTTTTATATGTTTTATTATGTTGCTTGGGGGCTGTTCACGATTCTGTCTTTGTGTTTTGTAATTTTTAAATTTTTAATTGTAAGCTGGCCAGAGCTTTTGGGAGTTGGGCGGCCTATAAACTGCCCAACTATGTACCTATGTAGGTTTGTGCAAATAAATAAGTAAATAAAATTTGCTGCTCGGCAGGTTTTGGAGAAATGTTATGAATGAAAATTTACTGCGCATTTGTTGATTTAGAGAAAGCATATGACCAAGGGGGTAGGCTTGAAATATGTTTTGCATAAATATGAAATTGATGGGGGATTAATGAATATAATAATGAAAATAAAGTCTTAGGTAAGTATAGAGGGAAGGCTTGGCAAACAGTTCAACACCGAACACAGTTTTCATGGAAAGGTCTGGAAATTATAACAGTATAGCTGTGAACTAGATTTAATTGGATTTTCTTTTCTAATCTTATACCTTTAATTTCTTTGGCTTGTGGCTTGTTACTTCTTTTTTGTACTTTGTATAGCATTGCATAACACAAAAGCGAATAGCATGATGGGCATACGTGTGCAGGAGCATATATAACTAGCAAGCATGGCTTGAAAGGGTCCTTCGAGGAGGAAAGACTTACTACAGGAGCTACTTGAACAAGGAAAGTGGCAAACAGGAAAATGATTAAGTGACCAATAGAAGAGAATATCTGTAGGTATCATGATGTTACCTAGTTGGGTCATGACATGTCTGCAAGCAAGCAACCAAGCTCAGAGAGCACCAAAAACTCCACCATTCAACCCTGAGCTGCATCTGTTCTCTTCTATTGGAGCCGCATATGGGCATCAAATGCGTCAGAAAGTATGCAAATGGGAGGCACTGATGATGTGACCTAGTTGATAATGAAATGTCTACTGACAAACAACCAAGCTCAGAGAGCACCAAGGACTCCACAGATGAATTTACATCAACCAGCCCCTTCCTGACTCCCCATCTCCTATCTGGAAGAAGTTTTTCCTGTTAAAAAGGAAATAAACCCCCAACTTCAGCACCTGAATTTCTCACTGTTATTTGTGATGTTTATGATTTTTTCTGTCGCAAATGCTAGACTCTCAGATGGGTTGCTTAAAATAAATCTGATGATGTTTTTCCTTCAGAGGGCGTTAAATGGTCTTTAAGAACATGCAATATTTACACAGAAAAAGTCAAGGGATCACAGAATTTGCAAGAGGACTCTTTTTAAGGGCAGCAGCAAAGTCACTATGAGGAACATAATGCTTGTCAGGGCCACAGATCCTGGCACTATACACAGGGCAGCCCAATGCCCATAGGTGAGGAGCTTTGTATCTCACCTCTATCTCATATTTATCTGACTTCAAAAAAAGAAACCAGAATTCAGGCCAGTTATTGGGTAGAAAATTTGTAGTCAGGAAATCACGTCCTGAGGCAAACCCATCATCCTCCACCTCCATTACCATTTTCTAATCTGAGCAACTTCTTGTTGCCAAAAATGTCACTTGACTGGTCCTACCTTGCTGCCAACCAGCTGCCTTCTTCATTTGTCCACCTCTCTGTTCCCCAACCTCTCCTGCTTTGTTAATCTCCACCTTGGCTCATTGCCTATAAATTGTCATTTTGGGTTTGAAATTTGGACGGTCCAACATTGTGCTACCTGCCTCCATCCATCCATCCATCCATCCATCCATCCATCCATCCATCCATCCATCCATCCATCATGTTGTCTGAATGCTTAACTGTGTACAAAGGCCCAGAAATGGAACGCCTGCCCATAGGCTTTAGGTATACCATTCTCTGTTCAGCTTATCTGTGCTTTCTGCCTGCGTCTCATGGAGAATCTCTGGATTGTTCCAGAGGAAGTTTTTATTTTGTAATCTCCCTGCCTTGGTCATATACTTTAGAGTGGGGGAAGAGGATGTCCAGATGTCTTACATTTGTAGCACATCTGCATTTTCTCACTGCTTCTTCCATCTTTTGTCTTATTGTGAAAGAAGAGCTGTAGAATGTTTGCTGATGGCTAGCCCCTTGGAAAAATAAACTAGGGAGTCTCATCAGGTGGAAGGGAGACCTAAGGAAACCTCCATGGTTCAGCTTATGCATTCTTGAGGTCTAGAGATTCTCCAATTCCACCTTATCATTTTAGTGACCAAAGGGAAGGGGGAATTTTTTTCTGAATGCAGAATTTACCATGATAGCTCAAAGTGATACCCATAAATGACCCTTGCTGGCCTTTGTGAGAGCCCCACAGAGTCTGCTTCTATGATTCTTCTGAAATTGCCCCATAGCACAATATGGCTTCTACCTTTACTTTTTTGATATCAACCTTTTGGGTAACAGGGTGGAGATGGAGAAGACCAAGTAACTGGAAGGATATAAAGTGCCACTTACCGCCCGACTCTCTGCATGCCTTCTCTGGGTTTGGCTGTACCCCTTCTTGTCCTGTTTTACTTGATTCTGGAGGGCAGTTTGCAGAAGACTCTCCTCCAGCTGCCGCAGCTGTTGCTTTCAGCGTCTGCCCTTCATTTTTTACTGAGAGCGGAGCATCTACCCCCACCTCCAGTACCCTAATTGTCTCATGTCCTGACATCACAATCACCTGAGAAAAGATAGCAAAGGGTAGGGGGATATCAGTGGACCCAGATCATCACTACAGTGGGCAAAGAGAAGCAACAAGGGAGATCTGTATCTGATTCTTAAGCAGGAAAGCTATTGCTCAGTGGCAGACACATGCTATGCAGACCAAAACTCCTAGGGAGGTTTGGAAAACATTCTGCCTGAAAACCAGGAGAACTGCTGCAGATCTTTGTTGACAGTAATGAACTAAGTGGACCTACTGTCAGACTAGATAAAAGATGATGTTCCATCTTTCTTCACGCAGCCCATAAAAATCTTTAGCAGCCACAAATCCAGCACATGGCTAAATGCACTCCCTGTTGCGCACACACTATCTCTATCTATAATGTGCGGAGATCACTCACTAGGGCCACATTGAAGCAAATCAGTGCCTTTGCTTCACATTCTGCTTTCCTGCAGCTCTTTCCTCCCTTTCCACATCACCCTGGAAGATTGTGGAGACACATACCTGCTCATTAACCGTCAGGGAAGCTTCTTGTGAGGGCACAGTTACAGTGTCCATGATTCAATGCTGGAAAATGGGTGCTGCAATTGATGGGTCACATACTGGAAAGCAACAGAGTGGTATATTTATATATCTGCAAACAGACTCAACTTTAGCCTATCCTATTCTCCATGCTATAGTTCATCCAGCCCTGGCAAAGCAGTTTTTGAAACCCCTTTACCTGGCTCCTCCATCCCCGTCTGATTCTCCTCAACCCATCTATTAAAGGAGGTTCAGGATTTTCTGCTTCCTTCAGAAGTAAGGATAACTCTGATAGGATGGACTCTCTATATTAACAAAGTAGTGGCTCCACCCAGGGAAATCCCAGTCCTCATCCTGGCTCTGGCATGATATAGTTCTTCTTGACATGCTCATCCCAGATGGTTGTGTTATCTGCTTGTACAGTATATCAGCCCCACCAGGTAGACCAGACCAGAAAATCAACTCCACAAGGAGACTAAAACTGTAGTTTATTGAAATAGGCAACAATAACAGAATTTTGCAAGTCTGATTGTGCTGTACCTCCCTACCTTCTTATATGCCAGTGAATCAGGGAAGTGTTTGCCTAAGCCACCTCCCAATATCATCTTGCTTCTTGCTTTTTGTTTGGTATTTGATAGCCTTCAATGAAAGCTAAATATAGGCAAGGTGAAATAGTTGTGTTTCTATCAAAAAAAAAAAAAATGAAAAGCTGCTGACTCCTGTGCTAATATTTGTGGTACAGAAAGAAGCTGTTGGCCTCCTTTTCCCAAGGAGCACTTGAGTTCCCATAGGGTCCAAGACCTATGAACTGGATGGGTCCTTCTGAGAAGAAATGGAAGAGCAGTATGCCAGCCTGTTGGTTTTTATAAACCCACACAGTTCTTCCTGTACAGTACTGTTGTGCTGTGATTCAATATTTCCCAACCTGCACAACTTTGAGATGTGTGGACTTCAACTCCCAGAATTCTTAGCAATGGCCATGCTGGCTAGGGAATTCTAATTGAAGTCCACACATTTCAAAGTGGCCCAGGTTGGGAAACCCTGCCATAGCTGGACTGCAAAACTTCAGGCCTCTACATGACAAGAGATTTTGATGCCAACTCTTAATTGCCCAGATATGCCTTGTTTGATCCTTTAAATTCTCCCTGACACTGTGACAAATATACATTGCAACAGATGCCAAATAATTACTTCCACTTCAGCTGCTAACTTTAATTAACTTGGCTAAGCTTGATTCATGCTTAGAAGCAGTTAAAGTGAAAGGAATATGTATGTGCATAGTGGTTAGAGTTGGATAGAGCCCATACTGCTGAAAATGGAGGGGAAGAGATTTTTCTTGTGGCTCAGCTCAGGAAAAAAAAGACAGGTACACAAAGGTCCTTGGTACCATAAACCAAATTTGGGCCTACAAAGGAGTTATCTAGGAATGAAACAATTTGAAAGGGCTTTGTAGGTCACCTAACCTAAACATTTACTTGATACAGGAAATCCAGAATGAGAGCATCCATAAGAGATGCGTGTTAGCCATCAATTGAAGACCTCCACTGAAGATGAACTTGATCCCTTGTGCAGCCATTGTGCAGTTCAGTTAATTCAGGTTAAGCATATTATGTGAATACATCCTGTAAGAATGGATGGTTTTTCTTTTTCTCCGACCTTCAAGCTAGTGTTGACTGCTGGTGACTGCCTGGACAAGTCCCTGCAGTTTTCTTGGCAAGGTTTTTCAGAAGTGGTTTGCCCTTGCTCAACCCTAGGGCTGAGAGAGAGGGACTGGCCCAAAGTCACCCAGCTGGCTTCGTGCCTAAGGCAGGACTAGAACTCACGATCTCCCCGTTTCTAGCCTGGTGCCTTCACCACTACACCAAACTGGCTGTGTCTTATGGTTGGCTTGCTAGCAGTTTGTCTGGATGGTGCTCAATTCAACGTGATGCATGCAGCTGAACTTCTTTACGCAGCTACACAAGAGGCCACCAATCCCAAGCCCTGAGCTGCACAATACTTGAGAACATCTGAAACAGAGATGCTAACTTGGGTTTGGGAGCAGAGTGACCATCCCAAATTACTTCCAACATAGCTTCAGTTTTCCCCATTTTCCAAAGCTCCACATTTTATAAAGACTTGCGTGCATTAGGCCATTCTTCCCTTCACACAGTCATTGTCTTTTCTCATTTGCTGTCATTTCCCGAGTTAATTCAGCGTCAGATTTTTTGTGAACTAAGATGCTCTGTTCACAGTTTCCCAGTCTATGCAGGTGTACTTCTGTCTACTTATGCTCTATGTGCAGAAAATCTGCCACTGTCTGCAGTTTGAAATCTTATAATGCCGAAACGGACACCTCATGCCATCTGCTTTTTGTAAAAACCGGGATATAGATGTGAGCTTTATGTACAACTTGAATCTATTAAAACTGCAGAGCCCCTCAAGATTAATTTAGGTCAACCTTCAGTCCCTCAAGGCAAACTATTTTAAATCACATGCCAGCTCTGTAGTCCATCTTCTCTGTCCCTTTTCCTATGTTTCATTTCTAAAACATCTTGCCCTTATCTGCCTTTGGAATACCCACATGGTGTCATCTTCCATAAGTGGATTTCAGATGAAGGGAAAGAGCAGGAAAAGATTAATGTGCAGAGGTAATGATCCTGTACGCTCTGCTTTACAAGAAAGGAGAATTCAAATCATTAGTTAACTTAGAACAATATCCTTATTTTAATTAGATTTACTACACAGATGATAGATAGCCCTACAGATTTACTACTAAACATACATGCAATTTTACCAGTTTGGGCCACCTCACCAAATTAATCATGTATGCAATCATTTATTTGTCCTCCAAAGAGAAGCCAAAGAAACTAACATTAAAATGAAAAAGTATAACAATATCAAATAAATGGCTGATGGTCTCAAGAGTGTGGAAGCTGCAGCATTGTGGGTGCTGCTCCTGCAAGACATTTCTAGGGGCCTTCACTGATACCCAAGATGGACTTATTCAGAAATTGAATGGAGAACTTGCCCGCTCTCAGTCAGGATGCTCAAATAGGAGTACAACTCTGTATCAATGCATTGCCTCTATGCTTATAATGGAAAATCCCGATCTGCACTCTTTTATTGGTTTGACTAACACTGGCTTGGCAAATAATTCTGGGATTGGCTTGTATATGTCACAGGATATGAAGTCTTGAGGGTAGACCTACACTAGAAATTTAATGGCAGTTTCATATTACTAGGTACCAGCACCTTTAAAAAGCTAAGCAGGGTCAGACCAGGTTAGGCTTGGATGGGAGACTGGGAAAGCCAAGGGCTATAGCTAGACTGGCAAATCAGAAAAAAATACACTGGAAGAAGGCAATTATATTTGGATATTGTTGCCCAAGAAAACGATATGGTTATATCTTTGTAATGAATCATCAGGAGTTGAGTCCAAATCGAGGGAATCTTTAAAAACCTGGGATGAGCACATGATGGATTCCAGTCCAGAAATGCAGCATGAACAGTGGAAATAGCAACTTATAGTATCTCTATGAATCTAGAAATAATTCACTTTGTCTTCTGCCCCTTCATTTTCTTTCTTCCAGAAATAAGAAGTTCACCAAGAGAATGGACTAGAGGTCCTTTTCGCTGAGGAAGATGAGGTGCTTGAGGCAGCTTTTAAGGCTTGCCCCATGCCATAATACTTAGTTCTGCATCTGCCTCTTCCAAAGCTTGTAGCTCATCACCAAGTGCCAGGCCAAGTACAGCAGCTAGGCAGGATCTGGAGCCCCAGAAGTACATATGTGGTGCTCAGAGCCTCTCCAGAAATTGCCACCAAAGTGTAATCTTTAATGTGACAGAAGACGGGGGGAGGATCATTAAATATATGGGGCCAATACAATTAAACTGCATGTAATTAATTTAACTAGCTTAAATGAAATCAGATGCAGTGTTGATAAACACCTATTTCCAGTAACTCTAGAGCGGACCTCTATATTAATTTAGCACTGTCTGGTGATCAATTCAATTGCTCAGGATAGATCAGTCAGAACTATAATTTGGCAAGAGTGCCATTAATTTTGTAGCTCCAGGTTCCTTCCAGAGAAATGATTGTATTGGAAACATGGGGGGGGGGGAGAGAGGGGCCAGG